CAGTCTCTCTACTATGAGTGGATGAAGGGCCAGGGATGTAGCTCGGTGGCTCTGTGCCTGCTCAGCAAGTGCAAGGTCCTGAGTTCGATCCCCGGTTCAGGGGTGGGGGGAGCGGGGAGGGTGAAGAGGTAGCTCAGTGGTAGAACCTTTGCCTAGCATGTGTGAGGTCCTGGGTTCAATTCCTACTACAACAGAAACAAAAGCAAAGCAGTGAAAAATTGTGTTCCTATGAGTTGATTCTACTCACCTTCTACCCTTAGCTTAGAATGGAGTGTTAGCTGTTGCGAATATGAAAAATGTTACCTGTTTAACAATAAAAATGGTTCTTAAATTTTCATTAAAGTTTGTTTGTTTGTTTGTACCAAGGATCGAAGCCAGGGCCTCAAACATGCTAGGCAAGTGCTCTACCACTGATCTGCGCCCGAGCTTTAAAGTACTAGCATGGGTTTGTATTTATGTTTCCTTAAATGGCCATAAATGTAAAGTGTCCTTTCTCCCATGTTCTGTGTTTCAAATCAAGAGTGGATCTATAAACAGGAGGGAGTGGCAGGCACCCAAATAGTCAGAGCCTACAGTACATAATGCTTTTGGTGGTAAAGTCTTACTTAACACTTGACTGTACCAGGAGGCCACTATGCCTATTACCCATCAGCACTGTGGGAAACGTTCCCTGGTGCCTGCCACTGGTTTTAAGGACTGAGAGTTGCGTTGAGCACCCATGCTTTCCGGTGCTGGACATTTTGAAGCTGTAGTATAGTGTTTTCAGACTGACAACTTAGAGGTCAGTTTTCAGGCATAATGCGAGTGCTGTGATTTCTAATGACAAGCCTCCACATCAGAGTCTGGGGACGTGACCTCACCCACATGTCCCTCTGCCCTTGCTGCTGGGTGGCTGAGTTCACTCACTGCTGAGGCTGCGCCATGCCTGCTCCTGCCCCTCTTCTCCTATGAGTGCGCACTCCAGCCACTCACTTCCAAGAAGGGACCAGGGCCACCACCCTGGCCCTTGTGGGATGGTGGCTCCACTGTTACCAAGCCCAGGTCTTTTGAGACTAGTTAGTGGCCCTGGACAGCATTATGAGGAGCTGTGTCCCATTCACCTTACTTCTCTTACTCCATTCTACCTTTCTTATTTAGGAGTCAATTTTGAACCCTAGCTCCCTCTAGCATCTCCACAGGACACACAGTGGTACTTTATTTAAAAAGTGTTCTTGGGCCAGGGATTTAGCTCAGTGGCACCTCACCTGCCTTGCAAGCACAAGGTCCTGAGTTCGATCCCTGGTACCAGAAAAAAAAGTGTTCTTGGGTGGAGGATGAGGCTCAGTGAACAGAGAGCTTCCTTAGACTGTGACAGACCCTGTGTTCAGCCCCCAGCACTGCAAGGTGATGATGATGATGATGGTGATGATGAAGAAGACCATGATGTTCTTGACAGCCAACTCCATTATCCTGGACCCTGAGGTGACCCTGACGTAGTCCCTTTCTTCAGACTTCACTGTCACTTTCTGTTTTCTCAGGGCAGCCTCCTCAGACCTGCAGGCTGGAGGATCAGGTCTCTCTGTGGTTTGCTGCCGGATCACTGTGTTCCTCTCCTCTCTATCGCTTACTACAGGTTGTAATTCTATATTAGATTTATATCTATACCCCCTCTGGAAGATAAGGTTATTGAAGGAAGAAATTCTGTCTACTTTTGCTTACCTAGCACCCTGGTAGGGGCCTGATACATAGTTGCTGAATGAAAGACTAAACTATAACCCATCTCATTACGTGAGAACTTGTCTTTAGCACATTTCTCTATGAAAGCAAGTAAAACACTTCGGGGAACAGTTGCTAACCATCAGAATGTTGCATATGTGAGCACCACAATATTTCTCCCTGTGGGTTCGATATCTGACTGCATATTTTATTACAGTTATTTCTTTCAGGGTGGTAAAAACACACTTACAGGCTTGCAGGCAGTCACACCTGGCTCCGGGGGAAGGGGTCAGGTTACGAGCTGCAGATTAAGTGAGGACATCCCTGCCAGCTCCTGCGAGGGGACAGGCTTCCTCCTAGCTTCAACTCTGCAGACAGCAAAGGGCTTGGGAAAGTCCCAGAACAAAGTGCCGGGACTCCTGCGACCCCTGAGGCCATGAGGTGGTTCTTTGCAGGTGTCTCAGGGTGGTACTATGCGGTCTGACTTCAGAGGCGGCTGCTTTTGCCCATGGTTTGTCATGTCTGCAGATCCTGTGATGGGGGAAGACGATGATACTACGTGAGACCGAAAGATAGAACACAGCAGCTACGATGTAGAGAGCTGAGCCTGGAGTCAAAATCACCATCCAGGTCACTGGTTTTTAGTAAAAGTCACACATCAAAAATGAACCTTGTCCTGTTGCTTGTAATCCCAGCGCTCTGGGAGGCTGAGGCAGGAGGATCATAAGCTAGAGCCCAGCTTGGACAATGCAATGACTTAGCAAGATCCTGTCTCAGTATCAAATAAGCTTGTGCAGTGAAAGACGCTCCTGGGAAGCAGTCCGGGGAATGGAAAGAGCATAGCTGGTTGTCAAGGTGATATCCAGTCCCCTCTGGGAGTACTTGCTATGGGTGAGCAGTATGCTGAGGCCTTTGCATGCATTATCTCACTTAATTCCAAATCTCTCATGAAGGCTCTTATTAGTGCCACTTTTCAGATCATAAAACCAAGTGTCCATGTGACAAGAAATGCCCGAGGTAACACAGCTTTTTATTTGTTTTTGGAGTCAGGGTCTTGCTGCGTAGCCCTGGCTGGCCCTGAACTGGCTGCGATCCTTCTGTCTGGGCCTCTTGAGCGCTGAGACCACAGGCAAGTGCCTCCACATCTGGTCCAGAGGCAGGATTTGAAGCCAGCTCTGGCTGCCTCCACATCCAACCACTTAACCCTGGAATGATACACTGGCCACCGGGAAAGCTGGGTTAGAGCTCCAGCTCTTCCATGACAGCTGAGTCCTGGGGTCACTTCTACAAGAATGTTATTATCTATAAAATATGAATAACAATATATAGGACACAGGGTTTCTGTGAAGAGTCGAAGAAATAATGCCAGTGAAGTCTTCAGTACGGTGCTGGTAGAGCAGCCACTGCTGCACGCTTCTATACTGGGACTGCAGCCAGTCTGAACCGAGATGCGTCCTAAGTGTAACACACATTCTGATTCTGAATGCTTAGTCTGAAAAAGAATGCAAAATAACTTAACAACCTCTTATATCGATGACTATATATGTTGAAATGATAATGTCTTTGACATATTAGTGAAATATGTTACTGCAATTAATTTTGCCACTTCTTTTTACTTTTTAAAATATGGCTACTAGAAATCAAACATTCTATGATGTAGGACAGTACTGTATCATACCTCTATGAATGTAAAATATCTAGTACCTGCTTTATGATACATAGTAGGGACTGTGCTTTATCAGAGCTACATTTAATGATATTACTCTAGAATGTTCTCTTTCCAGATGATGATTAAGAGGCTAATAGAAAAAATGGTGCCAGGTACCACAACAGCAACAGAACTTTGTTGTTTTCTGGATATTATTCTTTTCTTTGTTTTTTTTTTTTTATTTTTTTTAAATGGAATGTGCTGAATGTCTATAATTTTGTTCAGATGACTGCAGAACCTGGAAAAGCTGTTGCTGCTATCGATGCATAACATACTATTATTAGTCTTTTTATATAAATATATATATATACACACACATATATATATAAATTGAATTTGGGGAAACTTTAACGGTGCTGCCAACTTTGGAAAAAGTCATCCCAATTTACTGTGTTGGCTTGGCGTTGTACAGAAGTGGACAACCATATTGGTCTAGAAATGTTCATTTATTTTTATTTTTATTTTTTATTTTTTTTCCATATGTACAGGAGTAACACATCATACTAAATATGTAAGGTCATATCTATGTGGGTTTGATTACAGAAACTAATAAAGTATTCTCTAAATAATGAAGAAAAGAATAAGATAAGACTATAAGAGTGAGAAGCAATTTAAATATGTTCAGGGACCATTTTCATCTCCAGAATTAAGGATTATTT